GATATTTTTGGAACAGAGCTCAGCAAACTAGAGCCCATGAGCCAAATTCGGCCCACTGCCTGTGTTTTTAAATAAAGTTTTATTGGAAACCAGCCACCAGAATTCACTGACATATTGCCTATGGCTGCTTTCTTGCCACAGTGGAGTAATAGCAGCAGAGACCATGTGCTCCACAAAGCAGAAAATATCCACTGCGAGGCCCTTTCCAGAATGTTTGCCAAGCTCCAGGCTAGAATGCTAAGTTCTAGACCAGGTTCTGTGATTCCAGACTTTAATGTTCTCAACTTAGCAGGATTTCTGTTCCTAAGAGTCTGATGTGAAGAATTTAGAGTTTTATGTTTCTAGGAGTTTAAGATTCAAGTCTTTTTTTGTTGTTTTTTGAGACAGAGTCTCGCTCTGTCACCCAGCTGGAGTGCAGTGGCGTCATCATAGTTCATTGCAGCCTCCAACCCCTGGGCTCAAGCGATCCTCCTGCCTCAGCCTCCAGAGTAGCTGGGACTACAGGCATGCGCCACCACGCCTGGCTAAGAGAGTCAAGAGTCTTAAGATTCTCGAATCTTCCCCACTCCACCTCCCTCTCTCTCTGTGGGCTGTCATACCTGCATCCACTAGAAGCCGCGTCCCGTTGCCATTGGCCCGGTCCAACTCAGGAATCTCCATGACTGCCCAGCACACGTAGTCCCCACTGTCACTGAGGGTCACATGGTCCAGCCACAGGGTAAGAACGCCAGGTGCGTGCCAGGAGAGCTGGCCCCGGGGCCCGCAGACCTCCAGGCTTAGGCTGTCATTGGTGATGTATGGCTCACACAAGATGTCACCGTCCTTTGTCCACCCAACCCGGAGTTGTTCCCAGGTCTGAGCCTGTGCCACTTGGCAGGCCAGGGTCACCTGAGTGCCCTGCTGAACCCGCAGCAACTTGGGCTCCTGGTGCACGTGCAGGCTTGCGGCTCCTTGCAGGGCTGGGAGAGAGAAGAGGTGGATGAAACCTTTCTTAGTGTGTGCATGTGTGTACATGTGTGTGTGTGCGTGTGTGTAACTCACCCCCTACTGAGCCTACAGTAAGAGTTTGAGACTGCACCGTCTGCATGACCTTTAGAAGGTCACTTCTCGCTGAGGCTCAACAAGCCCATCTGTAAAATGGGTATAACTAGCTCAGCTCTTGTGCAATTTTGAGACGGACTCCAGCTCTCAGCAACACAAATGTCACCTAGTGTGTGCCACGCCCTATGCTGAGTTCAGTGGACACAAACACAGTGGTGGCCAAAACAGACAAAAATCCCTGCCCTTGGCTGGGTGCACCTGTAGTCCCAGCTACTCGGGAGGCTGAGGCAGGAGGATCGCTTGAGCCCAGGAGTTCAAGGCTGTGGTGAGCTGTGATCGCGCCACCTCCCTCCAGCCTGGTCAACAGAGCGAGACTCTGTCT